GGAGGGCAAATTTCAATGAGCTAAGGAGGATAGTTGGGGAAGCACTGAGGTCCAGGAGGGGAGGATGAGGAGCCTGCTGGCTCAGTTGATGGCTAGGCTTAGGGCTGGAGGAGAAAGGTTGGAACAGCTGTTGCAATGTTATAGGGTGATGCGTGACTGTATAGCCAGCTCCTGGTCCAGACCATTGGTCTCATCAGTGCAGTGATAAGTGCCACAGATCCATGCATGCATCCAGCATCTGAAAACCATCCAAAACATTTTTCCCTTTCCCTGTTGCTGTGCTGCCCTATGCCCAAGACAACATGGAGAGTGAATGAGAAAAGAAAGCAACAACTGGTAAACGGCTATCAGATGGCAAACTGAAGTGAATTGCTGAGTTGTTAGGATCGGGAACGTTACCTGTAGCCAGATGAGGGGAAGGTTCTGGCAGAGAAGCCATGGGGTGTTTGAAGTGGGCCAGGTGGTTATGACCCTCCTAGGTGTTTGTGAGCCCTGGAGTGAAAGCTGAGATTGTACATAAAGCAATGGATTAAGCCTGCATCTGCCAGAGAGGTGACTTGCCCTGACAAGAAGGTGAGTGTGCATTTCAGACTGTCGCTGCCTTTTTGGGGACGTTAGTAATTTAAGTGTTGGGTGCTGCTAGATAAGGTGCACACTGACCATGCCCCCCACCCCTTGCTGTTCTAGGCTACACAGGTTTGTATCCTGCCCCCATCCTTGTAGTCTGAGTGCTTTCCAGTCTTGCTTCATGTGGTCTAATGGACATCTGTCAGCTGGTTTGTTTCCACTGGTCCTTGTTTCAGGATGTACGGAGAAGTAAGTTGCAGGGGAGGAGTTTGGGAGGGTTTGCTGGGTTTGTTTCAAAGGGCCATGCAGCTCTGCAGAGAAGACGCATCAGAGAGGGGCTCCTGGCATTTGGAGTGTGGTTGGCAGAGTTTCTGATACTGAAGTCTTCATGTGGTTGTCCTGGTTTATTTCTGTATGCCAGTGATGTATGGCTATGAGGGCTCTCCCTTAAAGACCTTCCAGTTGAGTAAGGGAGCAGGACGAGCTGCAGCATAAAGCAAGTTCAGCTTGGAGATGTTGCTCCTGTACATTTCCTTTTGCTCACCTCTGCAGTTCTCTGAAGGACGGAGAAGGGATTTTCGATTTGCAGAATACACAGGCATGACACATCAGGTCAGGGAGGGCCCTTGCAGGGGACCACATGAATATGGCTTGGGGTGACAGGGGCTTTGTCATGTGGTTTGTGGAGAACTGAAGGAGAAATGACCAGAGATGGGAGAAGCAGTAGGGAAAGTTGCAAGTGGCATGGTGACAACATTTTATCATCCAAGGGGGAGCAAGATGAGCTAATTCCTTGAGCAGGGGCTGGGGATTTTCTCACTGAGTAAGGGGTTTGTTGGGATGTTGACAACCTGAGCCAGGAGCCCGTTGTGGGTCTAGAGTTCCAGGGAGCACTTTGGGCGCCTGCTGGAATCTAGTCTCTGTTGCCGCAGGTGGCTGTGGCTAAGATTCATAGCAGGGTCTCTAATCTGTTTAGTGCTTCCAGACCTGATGGTGAAACTCGTCTTTGCTTCTAGCTGGGGGGATGCTGAGAGGTTCTTGTTCCTTCCTGCGGTATGGTGACTGTGTGTTTTCCTCCGTAGCCGTGGCCTGACCAGGCAGACGTCACCCGCTGTGGCAGTCCTTCCTTGCTCATGTCTGGTAAGACCACCTAGCTGCATTTCACCTGTTGTGCCCACATCATGCTTTTTTTTCTGCCTCCACCCATTTGTGTTACGAGATGTTTTTGTCTGTGCATCTCCTTGCCAAAAGCATTTATCAATCAGAGATGGGGCTGAGGGGGGGCACCCCAGCGAACGTGCCGTTCCAAAGGAACAGCTGTTTTCCACAACCAGACCTTCCCCTGCCAGGTGTGCAGCTTAATACTGTACCATCTGGGACCCGAGCCTGAAACCAGCTCCTTGTTCCAGAAAAGCAGTGAATAAATCTGATTTTTAAACCACTGCATCCCTATTGTCTCTGGTATCAAAAGCACAGAAGAAATCAGTTCAAAATTAGAGTAATAAAATAGAATCTTCTTAATATTGCCCCTTTCTGACCAGGTCTTTCTGAAAACTTTGTGCAAGTGTCCTTTGTAGCATCAAATGGCAGCAGAATTGCTGCTTGTGTGCGAAAGTGCTTGCAATCTGCTACATGCTGTCTGTGCATAGGAAAACACAGTTGCTAGAATGCAGGCTAGGACTAGGAGCGGATGCAAGACGAGAGATGAGATACAGACGATGAAGGGCCTTTCAAGACCTTCGCTGTGATGAATCTCTCTCCTACTAACACAGAGCATCTTGGCTCCTCGGCAGCTTTCAGAGCTGCTGTCCACATAAGAGCATTCCTTGTTGTGCAGGGAACTTTCCCAGAGGGAGGAGTGCTTCCTTGACACCGAGCTTCCTGTTTCCCTAATGTAGCAGCCTCCAGGTCTTAGTTTTGGAGCTGGTTCTTGGCTGGAATCAGTTCTCTTCTAGGTGCTTGTGACATCACTGACCATGAGACAGGACAATTTTCCATCCCAGGAGACATGTGATCAGCTAAATTCTGCCTTGGCCATGCAAGGTTGGACCTTTGTAACTGGTGACCTGGATGTCCCCATCCCCTGGTGATCCCCATCTCCTCTTCAGTCTCCAGCAGTGCTTTGTTGCATGGAGTGGCTCATATCAGATGTTCCTCCAAAGAGTGTGAAAGCCCCTTCCTCTCCAGGAAGCCCAGGGCTCAGATTTCCTGCCACCATCCCAATCTGTTCTCTGTTGCACAACCAGCCTGCCTGCCTGCCTCAGTATGTTTCTATTTTGCCATTCTGTGGCATCAAACTCATTCTGTTGTTTCTGGCATTAAAAACAACATCTGCTTGTTGTGCAGTTGGGCCAATTGCTGTGGGCCAGCTCATCAGGGAGACTGTCAACACCCCCACAGCAACCTCTCTCTCCTGCCCCATAAAATGTGAATTATATTCACTTAACTCAGCTACAACCAGTCATTTGGGAGTTTAGTGACGGAGGCATTCAGCCAAGACCTTCCACAGTTGAGCAAGGTACTGGGAAGCAGGCTCCTGTCCAAGCAGCAGTGTTGCCCCTTCAGGGCCTGTCTGCAGAAGCAGGACTATGGCACTTCAGTGGTGGTTGTAGGATTTGAGCGCTTCCATTGCTCAGTTCCTCAAGTGTACAGTTTGTGGAAGAGGCGGGCAGATCTCCATGTGGACCGCTTTTCCTGCAGTCACCCCCTTGCCCACTTCAGAGAGGCTTGGTACATCTGTGCTCTCCTTCAAGGCATCAGTACCAGGGGTGAAGCTTCCCAGTCTCTGTGCTTGCCAACCACTGGGTGTCTGCCCTCTTTCTAGCCCAGCTGGAGGGAAGATGCCCCTTGTGCTGGGACACGCCGGGAAGCAAATTTAATGAACTAACATCTCTTGGGGGCATCACGCAGCGGCAGTGCTGGGGGCAGACGAGGCACGCTGGTCCTGTTTCATAGTTTCTTGGGTTGGAAGGGACCTGAGCAGATCATCAAGTCCGACCCCCTGCCATGGCAGGAAAGAGTACTGGGGTCAAACGACCCCAGCAAGGTGTTCATCTAGCCAAGTTGTTCCTCTACCCTAGTTTTAGGGTAGCGAGAACCCCAGGTGCCAAATCCAGGGAGTTGTCATAAAGCCCCACAGCCAGGAGGGCCTCCTTTGGTGCTGGGTACCCAGACAGGGGATGCATGGGAGAGAGGCAGGTGGTTGCTGGGATGTGGTGGCCCTGGACAGGGCAGTGCTGGTGCTGATCTCTCATCCAGGACTGCAGGACAAGAATGAGGCCATGGCTGCCTGGGGGGTGAGACAGGCAGACTGATAAACTGTTCCCTCCTCTGGCATCTCTTGCAGAAAGGGCTTCCTGGAGGGACCGGCTCCTCTGTCCTCGAATCCACCTTCAGGACAACGTAAGCTTTGGCAACCACCACCCCAGCCAGGGCCTGCCGCCTCGTTGCCAAAGCAGCTGCCCACCGGGCAGCCCTTTATCCCCAACGCTGGCCACAGACCCGTGCACCTTGGAGAAGGCTTCAGTGCCCCCTTCCAAGCGGCACTGCCGCTCACTCTCGGTTCCTGAGGATCTCTCCCACTGGCAGCCCCGCTGGAGGCCACTCGGCTCCAAAGTGTGGACTGCTGTGAAGCAGCGAGGCAGTGGCAGAGGGGAGGCGCTGGAAGAGCCGTGCCGCAGGCAGCCCCCTGGAGCCTGCAGTCTCAGGCTTGACCAAGCCCCCTCTAGCCCTCCCCAGCGTGTCCAAGGCGGTGGTGGCCACAGCCCCCCCTTCTTCAGCTTGGCCCTGTCCCGGGAGTCCCCAGTTGGCACTGCTTGGGAGAGCGGAGAAGCCTTGCAGTCCTTCTCCCTGCAACGGCGCTTCTCCTTGTCGCCCCGGAGCTCTGCCTGCTCCACACCCGAGCCGCTCCCGCACCAGTGCAGCCTCCCGCGCAGCCGCTCGCAGCCCTGCGACCTGGACGCCAAGAAGAGCGGCCTCAAGCGGCGCCACGATGAGCACATGAGCTGGCACCGGCCCTCGCTCGACTTTGACAAGATGAACCAGGTAGAGGAGGGCAGGTGCTGGGGCCGGGCTCCGAGCATCGGGGAAGGGCGGCCCAGCCCAGCAGGGCCGGGCCGGAGCTGCTGGGACTGAGGGGCCGGGAGGGAGCAGGCCCCTGCGCCCGCCGCCGAGCTCCCTCTCTGCTGCCGAGGCGGCGGGCGGGGAAGGCCGCGGGCGCCGGCAGCTGCGGCCCGTGCGAGGCGGCCAG